GCGTGCTGTGTCGGTGGTTACCACACCTAGTGCTTGCGGACGGGCGCGCGTGTCTATCTTGCATATCCAAACAAACTGTCATAGATTATATTTTATAAGGATTACTTGCTTAACGTGAGCTTTTTGTTTATTTGAAAATCTGTTTTTAATTGTCGCATATTGTTTTAAGAGATACCAACTGGTACATCCCGACCAATGAGATGATCATGGCTATTTGCATGGGCAGGCCTGTGAACATATTCTCTCACAAACTGTGGTGCTCTTGTTTCTGTTCGTGACTCTCTTGCCTCCAACTGTGACCAGTGTATCATCAGTCGTGTCTTGCTTCTCTGTGTGTCTTGTTTCTGTTCGTGTCTTGCTTCTCTATGTGTCTTGATTTCTTTCTGTCATTTGTTCATAAATCGGGGTTGTTTGATTCTACATGTGACCCATAAATAGACAATGATATTTGTGACAGTCAGTGATTAAAAATATTCAGCCTGTCGTGACTATAAATAATTTCAAGCTAAATGGCATATCGTATAGGCTGACTTTCAATCTGACGCTGTTCACGGAACACCAGGCCCCAAGTGTTTGAAGCATTTACTTCTAAGTTGGTTTCCTCAGCATCATTAATTGTTTAATATTAATTTGTAATTCCAGAGATTTGAACCTGCGACGACAGGACGGTCAACAACCGCTCTGTCATATGTTGTTGGACATGATTATTGATAAGATATTAAAAAACAGCTTGCAATGCTACCATTTAAGATGATCATCAATGTTCCTGCATTGCCCTAACTACCACCACTAGGCTAGCTGTTTAGTTTTTCCGATGACATTTTTAGCGTTGACAATCAACTATGTTAAACTTTTATTTGATCTGCAAGAGGATGTCTCATTCTATGAAGCAATCTTTGCCGATGATAGCGTTTTTCTGTTTAGTACACACAGTCATGACATGTTCAGTGTGTCAAATGCATTGCCATTATATGGTACTCTCTGGAAGGACCAGACTCATACGTAATCTGGCAAGTGTTTGAGTGTATGTTTCTTTTTCCGGGTGGTTGGGGGGGGGGGGGTGGGGGGAACAGGAGAGGGAGTAAAGATCACACGTAGTGAAAAAAAAAGGTGTATATGTCTGTGAGTGTGTTTGTCTGTGTGTCTCCGTGTGTGTTGTCTCTACGTGTGTCTGCGTGTTTGTGTATATGTGTGTGTCTGCGTGTGTGTCTATGTGTCTGTGTGTGTGCCTGTATGTATGTGCGCGAGCCCCAGCGTATGTGTGAGTGTGTGTCTGCGATTGTGTGTGTGTCTACCAGTGTATCTGTGTGTATTTGTGTGTGTGTGTGTGTGTGAACGTCTGTTGGTGTTTGTGAAGATGTGTGTGTCCGTGTGTGTGTGTCTGCGTGTGGGGTGTGTATCTGCGGGTTTGTGTGTGTGTGTGTATGTCTGTGTGTGTATCTGTGTTTGTATGTCTGTGTGTGTGTGTCTGCGTTTGTTTCTGTGGGTGTGTGCGTGTGTGCATATGTATGGAATGTTTGTATGTGTGTGTGTATGTGTGTAGGTAGGTATGTGTAGGTGTATGGCTGTGTGTTTATATATGTGTGTGTGTGTGTGAATGTGTACATATAAGCGTGTTTAAGTATGTTGGTAGGCGTGTGTGTATGTGAATGTGTATATGTGTGTATGCGTGCGCTAGTGTGTGCATGCATTTTACCACCCATGCTTTTGTGTTTTGTACTTTTTGATAATGATGTTACTATTTGAATTAAACATGCTATTTTAGCTGATATTTAGACAACGAGAGAAGATGCTTGAATATGGCATTGTGTCGGCACTATCATATCGCGGATTATGGAGAGGCATATCGCCCACGCCACATGCTTTGATTGATGAGACATTTTAACAAACACTTCCGGAGATTCTTTGCACCCCATAAAAAATATATATATATAACTGCTGTGTGAATCGAAGAATGGAGGATGGCAGAGTCCGTAAGGACTCTCTATGGTGAATTAAAGCCGGGTAGAAGATGTCGAGGCCGACCTATACTACCGTATAAAGATGTGTGCCGGCGGGACATGAATGATACGATGAATGAGATGGACTCGGGAACAAAATGCCATGGACTGTGTTGTGTGGAGGGGGCATGACAATAAGGAAACGAGAATGAAGGAAGAAATGATTGCAGAAAGGATGAGAGCTGAGCTTCCGAGAAGAGACGGATTAAACACAAATGTTGACAACAATGGTCCTGAAATCCCATGCTATCATTGTGGAAGACGTTTCTTGGCACGGGCGGGTAGTGCTAGTCATACTCACCCTCGCCATGGGCTGTGAGTCTCATGCCTCCTCATAAAGCAATGTAACACTGTCGTCTGGAAAGAGGGAAACATGCCAATGTCTTACATGTGACCCATAAATAGACACACATCAACTCTCAATGAAAGAGGGAAACATGCCAATGTCTTACATGTGACCCATAAATAGATACACATCAACTCTCAATGAAAGAGGGAAACATGCCAATGTCTTACATGTGACCCATAAATAGACACACATCAACTCTCAATGAAAGAGGGAAACATGCGAATGTCTTACATGTGACCCATAAATAGACACACATCAACTCTCAATGAAAGAGGGAAACATGCCAATGTCTTACAGGTGACCCATAAATAGACACACATCAACTCTCAATGAAAGAGGGAAACATGCCAATGTCTTACAGGTGACCCATAAAGCTGTTTCCAGTAAATATATCTGTCTGAGGCTGAGCTTGCAAACGATCGTCTTCCACTTGGTTTGTATGGAGATTTATGTATTGGGAGTCAGTTATTTGTCTGATGCAGCTGAACTGAGGGCTGGCACAGTCATAACCTTCGGCAACTGATTAGTGACAGAGGCCATAGACTGTGCAGCCTGGAACAGTTATTACGCAGATTGTTTGACAAGCATTGTAATACAGAAGATCTATTGTCGACTTGGGATTCGTCACTGTTGCTGCATACTGGACAACAATAGTCCCAGCATTCTGACTTGCCAGCCCGAGGGAGATTCTTTGCACCCCATGACCTCATTCCTGATCTTATCTCTTTTGGTCATTCCTGCGGTCCTCATCCATTTTATTTTCAGGAGACAACTTTTAAAGACTGGTCAAACAAACATTCAAACTCTGCAGAATATGGTCGCTACCTTGATAAGACTTATCTCTATTTACAATTATTTATTTTAATTACACTGGCCAGATTTATTCAAAAAACCGCACAGAAACTCTTTGGTTGACTGCCTAAGGACAGATCCACGTAGAAATCTTTCAGACAATATTAAATTAATTGCGGTGCAGTATATATTAGCTAATTTTGTTTTCTACTGCATAGAATCAGTATACATCTTCTTCTACGGATCACCTGCAGTGAGCAGGTTGCAAAAACTTACATCATTGTGAAAAAGCACACACATTCCAGAAACTTTGATCTGTATGACCGTTTGATGTTGTTGGTCACTGAGTTAACAGACTGCTATGTTAGTCTTAACACAGTATCTGCTACAGTCTGCTAATCATATCCTTGCTGGTTCATCAGAACACTCATGTGTGTAGATATGTAGGTATTTTTTTAGGTTGGCGTGTCTTAGCAGATACACTACTGACGATATGTAATAATAAATACCATTTCCTTCTATTTCTAGAGTCTACCATCGTTGTGTCTAGCCTGCAATCGCTGTCAGTTTGTGATCACGAGGAAGACAGCTTCTGGAAACATTTGGCAAGCAAATATGTAGGAACAGAGGTTAACAACGGAAAGTCGAGTGTTTTTCTCTGTAACGATTTGCTGCGTCTAAGAAATCTATCTGCTCTCATTTTTATCACAATTAATTTGATCTGGTTTTGCTGCCTTTGTGCCTTGTATGTATTTGCCAAAAGCAATGCTGTGTGTTACTTTGTAGCTGGCATATTTAGTTTTTCTTTAGTGGTGCAATTAGTAGGGTTAACGTGTTACAAATGTAACACTATTTTAGACAAACACTTCCGGAGGAAATCGAATGTCTGTGTGTCAGGCAGGGATCATCTGTAGTGTGTATTAAACTGCGTATACTACAACAGCCTGCACATGTTTCCTCATTAGAAGCAGTGTTTCTCAAACTTGTTTGACCCACCGCCCCCTTTTCAGTTAATCAAATGGCCTAACGCCGCCCCCTTTTCAGTGAATCAAATGGCCCAACGCCGCCCTCTCCGTGGAAATAGCATCATCGTCATCATGTGCCACACCGAAAAGCATAGATTCAATAGAATCCCGGATCAGGAGGTGCTTTTGTGCTCTAGTGCTCTTGTCCCGCTTCTTGCATGTAGCCAGGCCATCGAGGTATTCATCTCTTTGCTTTCCCCCGTCCTCTATCTATACATCTCTTTCTTTCCTTTTTGTTAGCTGGCACCAAGTTATCTGCTTTATTCCTTACCTTGAAATATTCCTTCGTAATCAAACAAAATTAATGATATAATGGCAAATTTTGTTTCTTATCGTCTGTCATTTCTCGGCCCTACAACATGCTATGGTCTGTAATTGTTCTAGTTTTCTCTCCAGTTTTAGATTGTTTTAATACTGTTTTTAGCATTTTATCCATTTCTAGCGACAATCCATAGTAGGCTGAATTCAACAAAACCAATCGTCCCATATTGTCAGCATTAAGGCCGTGTATGCAGAAGCGGGTGTAAGGTAACCACTATTCGTATTCGGCCCGACCGCAAGTATTCGGCCGAATACCGAATAGTTATTGGGTCCACTATTAGGCCCCGAAGCGAATGTTCAGTACAGCTCTAGTAATAACCAGACACACTTCTATCATTTATAAAGACATTCTGTTTATCACATTTATTTGAAAGTAAACTTATAATGTATCATCGTTTTAATAAACTCATTATCTACTCAATGTTAAATACGAAATGTATGAAACAAACGTCAGTATCTAATCAAGGAAAGGACAAAACCTATAAATCCCAGTTATACTGTGAAGCTGCAATGTCAGCCAACGATGTTTAGAGGCGCAACTGTGTCTGCAATTCTGGCGAAGTAGCGACGACAGGTTGAAGTCCCACAGGTATACATCTGCAAGATATTCAAGTGCAACTTTTTTCAATGTTTTAGCAATAGAGTTATCAGCTTTTTGGGGTTTTTTTAGTTTTTGTTTTGTTGTTGTTGTTGCATTTTTTGTATAACGTAAGCTTTTGATTTTAACACTTTTCCCTGATAAGACAACGAGCTGAAATTGTGCACACACGCGCGCGCGTGTACACACAAGATTTTATTAGTTGTAGAATAAAACAGTGGATGAATTATGTAAAAAAGAATTATTGACACTCGTGTCTCCATTAAACAGTATGATAAATTTATTTTGTCTTTTAGTGCATTACTTAAGTTAAACCTCTTAAATAAAAGCGTACGTTAGTTTTGGGGTGAACAGTTTAAAAAAAATAATTATTTAAAGGACCCCTTCATTCGCCACAAAGGAAAACTGGGTATCTATATATTATAGGTGTAGTTCTTGCCGGGATTACCTGGTACCTATTCAAGACTTGATCAAGGCAGGAGACGTGGTCAGTTGTAAAACAGTTCTGACTGCCTGCGTCTAGCCTCTACACTACTCTGGTTCTGTTTTTTTTTTTAATACTTAATGAACATAATAAAATAAATTATCTTCTTTCTCATTTTGTCTCATGTTTTTCTTCTCTTCGACATCATTCTCCTTTCATCTCCTCTCTACCTCGCTGTTCTTCATCCTCTCCTTCTGCTCCTTCTTCTTCCTCCTTCTCCTCCTCCTCTTCCTCTTTCTTCTTTCTAGAAGTCCAAGTCAACGTGACAAATCCCAGCCTTACCGGGGATTAAACACGGAACCTCTAGCACTCGAGGCGGACACCATACCTCGAGACCACGCAGCCCCCCCCCCCCCCCCCCCCCCCAGAAAAAATGGAGTGATGGCATTAGGAACAGCCTTGCAGAAATAAACATCAATCTTAATAGTGTTCTTGACAGAGCTCATCAAAGAATGTTTCATCTCCCGACACTATCCTGGGGTACAAGGTAGAAGAGAAGAAGAAAAAGAAGAAGTGATGTCCTGGTGGGATACAATGTACTTACTGATCTAAGATCGTTGCAGCACAATACCAAACGCTGTCCTCATGTGGCATGCAATTTTTTTGTTTTTGTTTTTGGAAGCCCCACACCGACTTTTGCCGAGGCCGTAATATAACCTAACGGTTAAACGGGGTTTCTGGGACCTATCCACGGGTGATCCTCGTCCGCATGGTGGCACTTTGTGTCATCGAGTGTTTATCGCTCTGTGTGATGTCCTGGCGGGGTAAAATTTATTTACTTACTAATCTAAGATCGTGTTACACCCATCACCATATGGGATGAAGTTTTCGTTCTTTTGAAGCCTCACCCGAAGTAGTAGAAGATACTGTTAAAGCTATAACTGGGGATAAAGATCCAGATGTTTTCCCAGTCAAGCATGACACAAGGAAATGGGGAGCTTTGTGTAAGCCTACACACGACATTCCCCAATACATCCTTGTGGTGACTCTGGGAATAAGAGAAAACAGCCACACAGTTTTGATCCTGATCCCTGGCCGACGGATCGTCTGAATGCATTGCACGCAGGACGACCATGGGTCCAACACATTTCCTGACGGAAGGAAAGGGAGCCACCTAGTTTTTTCAGCTTCAGTTGTCGAGAATACAGAAAACAACCCACTACCAACAAAGACAGTAGTAGCGCAGATACAACCAACTACCGCGGACATCAAGCAACCCCCGCAGAGACAGGCAGAAACCAAATGTATCTACTAAAAACAAGAAAAAAGAAAGATAATTCATCACAAGAAACCAACACCACAAGCTGTAAATGACCTTCACCCCCCGGACAAGAAACGAAAAAAAGAAAAGCGTAGAGTCAACAACTTCGGAAAAGATGGCTCAACAGAAGTCAACAGATCAAGAACAAAACAATGACACAACTACTATAGATGTTAGCCCCAAACCAAGGACGCCTGGGTAATTAATTATAGATACATCAACGAGATGAGAGACCAGCATCTAGAACACAAGAACTATTTCGGCAGAATGCCTGCAGAAGAGAATTTTACTATCAGACGCACAAAGAAGAAATAGACAAATTAGCGCGTGACTTTTCGGCACCAGCTCGTACGGAATTCAGAGACGCAGTCACGGACTTTAAAGTATGATGCCACCTCTGCGATGATGAAATCGACGAAGAGGCGAGAAGATATGCCTATAATTTGATGGATCAACAAAGAGCAAAGAACCAAAACTGACAGACAAGTGGTGTCCACACCCCTTCTGTCTACAACCTTTCCCACACCTTTTCTGTCTCCAACCTTTCCCACACCTCTTCTGTCTCCAACTTTTCCCACACCTCTTCTGTCTCCAACCTTTCCCACACCTCTTCTGTCTCCAACCTTTCCCACACCTCTTCTGTCTCCAACCTTTCCCACACCTCTTCTGTCACCAACCTTTCCCACACCTCTTCTGTCTCCAACCTTTCCCACACCTCTTCTGTCTCCAACCTTTCCCACACCTCTTCTGTCTCCAACCTTTCCCATACCTCTTCTGTCTCCAACCTTTCCCACACCTCTTCTGTCTCCAACCTTTCCCACACCTCTTCTGTCTCCAACTTTTCCCACACCTCTTCTGTCTCCAACCTTTCCCACACCTCTTCTGTCTACAACCTTTCCCACACCTCTTCTGTCTCCAACCTTTCCCACACCTCTTCTGTCTCCAACCTTTCCCACACCTCTTCTGTCTCCAACCTTTCCCACACCTCTTCTGTCTTCAGCCTTTCCCACACCTCTTCTGTCTCCAACCTTCACAAACCCCCTTTTTTTCTTGTGTTATTTCTGATGCACTTAAACATAACACTACAAACACTTACAAACAGCAACACATGTAACAGAACCTGACGAAACATGTAACACAAACAGCAACACATGTAACAGAAACTGACAAAACATGTAACACAAACAGCAACACATGTAACAGAACCTGACAAAACATGTAACACAAACAGCAACACATGTAACAGAAACTGACAAAACATGTAATACAAACAGCAACACATGTAATAAAAACAGCAAGACATGTAACACAAACAGCAACACATGTAATACAAACAGCAACACATGTAACACAAACAGCAACACATGTAACAGAAACTGACAAAACATGTAATACAAACAGCAACACATGTAACACAAACAGCAACACATGTAACAGAAACTGACAAAACATGTAATACAAACAGCAACACGTGTAACAGAAACTGACAAAACATGTAATACAAACAGCAACACATGTAACACAAACAGCAACACATGTAACACAAACTGACAAAACATGTAATACAAACAGCAGCACATGTAAAACAAACAGCAACACATGTAACACAAACAGCAACACATGTAACACAAACAGCAACACATGTAACACAAACAGCAACACATGTAATACAAACAGCAACACATGTAACAGAAACTGACAAAACATGTAACACAAACAGCAACACATGTAACACAAACAGCAACACATGTAACACAAACACCAATACATGTAACACAAACAGCAACACATGCATCACAAACAGCAACACATGTAACATAAACTGACAAAACATAAGCAGAAACGAACACTTCAATGTCTACTTTTGTGTTAATAAAATAATTTGTATAATAATTATATCGTGTCTGTGTTTGTTCAGTTATATACAATGTATGCAAACGTTTTTGTGTTACCAGTCAGACGCAATTGTCTACACCTTGACAGCTAAAAGTAATAAATCACCCCCCCCCCGCCCCCCTTTACAGAAAAAAAATCAAAAATATTTGTCCATATCTTTCTTGGTGTTTCTGTTGTCTTCCTTCCAGATGTTCTGTTGTAAAAAGTCTCATAATCAGTTTGGCCTGGCTGTATTCTGATTTGATGGCTGAAACATTTCATTCTTTGTCTGTCAATATAATCCAGACATGGTCTTATTCCAGCTTTCTCTCTAATGCTGGTACTCGAAACTCTGTCTCTTCTTATGTTGATACTGACCTTGCGGAGACAGAGTACTTCACGTGTAGTTATGTTCTGTTCTACTGACCTTGCGGAGACAGAGCACTTCACGTGTAGTTATGTTCTGTTCTACTGACCTTGCGGAGACAAGGCATTTCACATGTTGTTATGTTTTGTTCTAGTGACCTTGCGGAGACAGAGTACTTCACGTGTAGTTATGTTCTGTTCTACTGACCTTGCGGAGACAGAGCACTTCACGTGTAGTTATGTTCTGTTCTACTGACCTTGCGGAGACAAGGCATTTCACATGTTGTTATGTTCTGTTCTACTGACCTTGCGGAGACAGAGTACTTCACATGTTGTTATGTTCTGTTCTACTGACCTTGCGGAGACAGAGTACTTCACGTGTAGTTATGTTCTGTTCTAGTGACCTTGTGACCTTTCACACGTTATGTTCTGTTCTACTGACCTTGCGGAGACAGACAGTGTAGTTATGTTCTGTTCTACTGACCTTGCGGAGACAAGGCATTTCACATGTTGTTATGTTCTGTTCTACTGACCTTGCGGAGACAGGGCATTTCACATGTTGTTATGTTCTGTTCTAGTGACCTATTTATTGTCCCTATTTTACGCTGCAAACATAAAGTAGGGATACAGATACTATTGATCATTTGCTGTTTTGCTGGAAGGGAGACGTTTGGGTGTCTAAGCAGTGAAGCTAACTGGCAGGTGACATCATTTGCCTTCTGTACTCTGGCTTCTATCTCTCTATCGAGTCTGCCATCCTCTGTAAATACAGGCATGCTTCCTAAATATTTGAATTCTTATACGTTTCATTGTAGAATCGTTAACATGAACATTCATTATATTATGTTTTCTGCCAATCCTCATTACCTTAGTTTTCACAGTGTTTATACTCATCTCATACTTTGTGCAGGTTGCATGTCAGGAGTCAATAGGATTGACTCACGCCGTTCATCCAATCGTTACAATTATTAGGATTCCCTATCGGCAACATTGACGTCATCATTTTTCTTGTCACCTTTCTCTTCCTTCTTTCTTTGACTTATGTTTTGTTCGCATTGGTCTAAACATCGCTCAAACTGTTAGATTCTCAGAATTAAGACAAGTACACAAACAGAAGTATAATAATATGCTGTATTTACATATATATATATACTTAAATATACTTACCACAACAAGCTCTCCGTGTTCACTGATATATCTTTGAACTTCCTGTGTTCTATTGAGTCCCGGCTCTAGAGGAGTCATCAGCAGAGTCAGCTGACCATCCTTGTAACTGCAGAATATCTGTTTCAACACAAAAACCAGGCTATCAGTTTGAAACTCTATTACTGAAATAAATTTAACCTCAAGTGAAACATTTCTTACTGTAACTTTCTACGGAACTATTAGTTTTATTAAGTACTAACAGTTTAAATAAAATAGTGAATGAATGTTCAGATAAATTACAGTTGTACTTTTACTGCAACAACCTGTTTAAGCTCAGCTGTGTAGTCCCCCGAAGGTGCCTCCATCTTGCGCAGTTGGGCAGCTTGTATTTCTCAACGACATTAGAGCTATGCCGGCTGTAGCGTAGTTACCAGCAGGGTCTCCCAAGCCGGAAAGGTCAACGGGTAGAGAACAAGGAGAAACACCTTGGTCCTCTAGGTGGAGGCTTGAAGCATAGGGCCGCCACCTCTACCTTCATAAAACTTCATTTCGTTAAGAAACAGATATCTAAATCTCAATCTCAAATGGATTTACTCGGGCAACGAAACTTGACATTAAAGGACTTTGAGATTTGGAACATGGAACGTACGAACCCTTTATAGAGCTGGAGCAGCTGAAGAAATGACCCATGATTTATCAGATTACAGAAAGATGTAACAGCCATTCGGGAAATGAGATGGTCAGGACAAGATACCACAGAGAAAAATATAATGATCATAATGAGTAAAGGAAACACTCAAAACAAACATCAAATATGGACACGATTTGTCATCAAGAAAACGTTGTGGGAAAGCACTGTAACTTTTGAAGCTGTTAGTGATAGGGTAAGGAAGTTACGAATGCAAGAAAAAAAGAAAAAATCACGATGAAAAATGTGTATGCACTGAAGATACAGAAGATGATATTCAAGAAGATTTCTCTTTGAGAATATCATAGGGCAGTGGTCGGCAAATCGCAGATCTCCAGCCGCACTCGGCTCTTTAGCGACCTAAGTATGGCTCGCCCACCCGGCCACAAATCAGTTTCGACTCAGAAAAACATGGTTCTTGACAGGTTCTTCAAAAGAAATGTGGCTCTAAAAACAATTTTAATCGTCTTGCTGCTGATTTTTAGCTCTTTTGACTATAGGGTTGCCGACCTCTGTCATAGGGGAAAAACTGGACATATTGATTATCTTTCAATGCCAAAACAGGAAGAGAAGTCACCTATAAAAATGTGGCAGACATGGACAGCCTGCATACAAACTCATACGACAATGAATGGAAATAATAAACCTGGCAGTAGTGAAAGGACTACAGGTAAGCACAGTACTAAAAGTAGCCAGTTAGCAACAGTTAGAATTTATTAACAAGATTGTCATGAATATGGTAGCTAACCTTCACAACAACAAATCCATCATTTAAAAAAAAAAACTGAAGGCTGCAAAACGAGGGCATCAATGCGGCATATATAGTTCAAAAGGTCACAATGGAAACATGATAAATGTCGTGAAGTGATCCAACCCACCCCTACATATTGGACTATTCGTGACGTTGGCGCCCCTAGCGGGCAGGTCACATTTTAAATATAGACCCGTCCGGTGGGTATATAGTCCCTCATATCTATTTATACCTTTATCTTGCGTAACAGGTATTTCTATATGCTCTGGGTGTCTTGTGAAGTTTACATTTTCAAACGTACAGTTGTGGGATATATATTTTCTGGATTCAGAATTCCGAGAAGCTTTTTTAATCCTTAGAGTACTAATTTTGGCGCTTCTTTCTTGAGACGCGACGCCTAGCGTCCCGCTTGATTTTCTGCCCGGCTGCCAAGAAGAACTGATGTTCCTAACTGTGCCTCTAGTATCTGTACTTTGAGGAGGCGGCCTTTTGTGTCTAGGACATTTCATAAAGCTTAGGATGATATCTCCTTGGGGGCCAGGCAGTGAATCAGCAGTCCACGGAACTACAACAGGGAAGTCATCTATGTCTAAGCCAGTGGTGGGCATCAGATTGCAAGCCACCCTTTGGTCATCCATCAAATAGAATGCTCCAGTTGGTCTACAGACAACATTATGAGTGTTGTACCTCCACCATCATTTTATCCAGGAGCTTATTTGTTCCTCCGGTGAGTGACTTTGTGTCAGAGTATCCTCTCCAGGAGCTTGTTTGTTCCTCCAGTTTTCGAGTTCCAAGTGTGGGACTGTCTTCAACATAACAACAGAGTGATTGAACATTCAGCCAGTCCAAGTAACCATGGATTCAGATAAGTGTGGTCAATCGTTGGTTCATTGCCAGGCTTTACTGTTAATCGTCCACACGATCATGATGATGATCTAGGCTGACTCTGAGAATCTATAAGACAATTAGTCAGATCTGTTTTGGAGTTTTGGTCCCTCATATCATTTTGGTGCTTCTTGAATTTCTTTGCTGATTCTTATATGATGTATGTGTTGCATTTATTACATGTCTTTGGAAGTTTTCATCATTGACTTGAGTGTCCATCATTCACTGTTCAAACTTTCTAGAGTTCATGTATGTGTAACCATTAATCCTAATCTGTGTTAACATGGCAGTGATATTACAATATCATAGCCTAGGGGCTATCTTCTTATAGTAGTGGGGACGTCCAGCCAAGTTGTGCCTAGGAATATTATATATTCTGTAGTGCCATAGCTTGGGTTGCCTTAATCCTGAAAAAGATAGGGTGTATATTGGCCACAGGATACCCTTTTAACCAATACGAGCCGACACCTCAACATTATTCTATTTCAGAGTGCTGTTGATTCTTAAGGAGAAATCCTTAAAACAGGCACGTGACACGAGCGGTATGTGACAATAAATAATAATGTGGAAATATGTAACAGATGCAAAGAATGATTTTCTGAATTGTTAAACTGTGAAAATCCTATAACTACTTATCTACAGGAAGAGATATTAACATGTGAACTAAATACTGAAAAGATTGATTTTTGAAGAAGTACTGTATGGTGAATAAAGCCAGTCTTACAGGTCATCAAAGAACAACAAATGAAGTGGTTTGGACAACCAACCAGAATGCCCAGGTACTATATAACACAGCGAGCCACACTGAAACTATGCAATAGGTATAGAGCCAGCGGAAGACCTCGGAAATTAAGAACAGCCTTACATACAAGGTCCCACAATTAAGTAATGAGACTGATTTTATAATGGCCAAGACAAAAATGCTATATATAAAGCAAAGCATGGAATCTAAAGAAACATCATTAATCTATCATCTGGCAACTTTTCATCACTGCTCGATAAGCAGAAAACAAATAAGCCGCCATTTTGTTGATCTAGTCAGAGATGCATTGTTACATAATCAGCACGGAGCAAAAAGCCAACATTAAATTCTTTTTAAAACACAGAAAAAGTGTCATTGAAACAGTCGAATTGATTTAACAAGTTTATGGGGATTATTGTTTATCGCGTGCACAAATGTTCAGGTGGTATTCAAGATTCAAAAGTGGTGTAGAAATGACTACTAATGCACCTAGACATGGGCGCCAAATTTCTGTTTGTAATAATGAACTCATTGCAAAAGTCAGAGAACTGATAAAATAAATCATTGTTTTATTGTTAAGATGATGGCAAATTAATCTGGTGGTAATAGAGAGACCATTCATAAAATTTTAGTGCAAGATTTTGGCAAGAAAAAGGTTTCTTGCCGGTTTGAACCACATTCGTTGTTTGGTAGCCAAAAACATCAGCGTGTTGAGTACCCAAGAGATATCATCAAAACAAGAATTGTTGACCCCAAAACAAGTGTGTGTTCTCAGCCTTCCCCCCTATGTCCCAGATGTGTCTCTCTGTGAATGTCAGGTGACAGAGGTAAACAAAAAAACTGTATACACAAGGAAGCTCAATGGTCGCAGACCAAGAGAAAGACCAAGAAGACAACTGAGAGATAATATCCAGACAGATCTTCAAGCAATTAAAGAAAGAAAGAGATGGCCAAACATAGAAATGCACCGCTTTACAAGTGACTGAGGTGGGTGATATATCTGCCGCAGTGAACCTCAAGGACTCGAAATACTGACAAAGGAAAAGAAAAAGAGTTCTAAAATTATAATAGAAAAAAAAAAAGATATGTAAATATGTGAAGCATTTTACAAATTCTAAAAGCACATTTGAAACTCACACTCTGCCTGGTTGTTTCCACTACATTTTCTACTGACTCTTCCAAAACGAACACTTGAATCTGATTGTGGAAGGTCGAACGAAAATCAATGTGGATTTTATTTCCTTTGATAGATATCTCTTGTTCTGGAGCTCTTGAAATTGCTAGTTTTCTAGCAAAGAATCCAACACCTGGTATAAGAAAGTCATAAAAATGTACATTTTTTGTGTGTGCTGAAAAGAAGGGAGGCGGGGTGGGTGGGAGAGGGGTAAAATGCATACAAACAACCTAATTTAGTCTGTAGTAATCACAGTTTATAGGCTTTAAAGTATTCACAACTCCCACATACAGGGGCGATAAAGCTGTAGACTATTTAACAGTAGATGGTTTTGCTTTGCTTTTAAAAGCAATAGAAACCCATGGAACATTCAATAGTCAACAAACCCACGAACAGCCAACAAATGCTGTGATTGGTTTGTAAGATCCTATAAAAAAAATACACAGCTTACTTTTAAAATATTTAATACATCATCTTCAAATCGGCACAACTGCTCATTCACTTATTCGCCATCATCAATATGTCAAGTAACAGACCTTTTTTCCACGCCTCAGGAGTATTAGGCATATAGGACAGGACCTATATTTCATAGACCAATCAGCATTTAGTGGGTGATGGGGTCAACGTGACACCGGCCGCTATACCATGGCGATTGCCCATTATCATTATGTTCCGTGATCAATCCTCCAAGGAGTTTTATTTGAGCAATAAAACGATGATGCTAGCATCATATGAGCTGTACACTACAAAGAGCGGAAATAGATTCTCCTCCTGATTTACTTGAATTGTTAGGATTACAATAATATTATGTTTACATAACTAACAATTGAATGATAATCTGTTACGACAGGCAACATAAAAGTCTTTGAAAAGACAGTGAAAACGCACGAACATATTCATGATTTAAATTTGAAATTGGAAAGAAATTGGAAGACGATACTGCATCAGAAAAAAAAATACAGAAAATAAGAGACAGACAGAGAAGGACAACCTCTGTACTTACCTATCTAGCTAATTGTTCATTTAAAGATCATCTTCTGCGTACATAGGACATGACTGTCGTATGACCAACAAAACACCCCTCTACTTTCGCTGTAAATGACCCATTTTCAAAACTTGGACTTTCCTCCGTAGGTATATAGTCCTTCTTACTTAGTAAGGGTCCAGAGATTGGATAGAGGACATATTTCTAGCCTAATTATCTTGCAAATTAAATACATTTATATTCAGCCATATATGGTTGAGTTTCACCAAATTCCATGGTCTGACTACCGCTTTGCAAGCTAATGAATCCCTTCCCACCTCTAGCCGGAGGGACGCTTAGATTTGGGACTCATTCTTGACTTCCAGGCTAAGCGGACGGATTGCTGCCTTGCCTGTCTATCTGCTTACCTCTTTTTGAAAGTCACCGATTCACCTAGGAAGTTCCATGAGCATGGGATGTTACTAATATTTGAAGGCCAGGTCAACTATCATTATTCTAAAACACATTAAGTGTAACCAGCGTACAGCCTACAGAACGAAGAATCCTCAGTAAACATCTCACTCATGTCCATGTACCAGTGTCTGGATCTACATGAGACTGTTCCCTGATGATCACCATCAGCTTGTGTCCTCAACCCAGGATCATTTTATGTGGTCATGTTGCCAACAGCTGCCACGACCAGAGGGTGGCATAAAGTCTAGTATGGAACATTTTGAAGTAAAACAAGGAAACTTCTCCCTTGAGCATATTATGAAATACTATGAACAATATAGTATTGGGAACTGTAACACGTATTGAAGGTTTCTTTCGACTCCAGTGACTTATGACTTTTGTAACCAATGTTGGATTTACAAGGCTTTAAACATTCTCAATGTCAACTGTTTGACGATGCTGCACATTGGATGAACAGGACCTCCTAGACAGATACGTTGTGGTGGCTGGAGACTGTGGTTACTCATAACATAAAGTGCCAATTACTTAGGTCCATAATTGATCAGTTTGCAGAGATGAGAATTGCTGATACTAAAGGAAAACCAGGAGTCCACATGGATTAGGGAATTCTTCGATTCCATAGAGAGTTGACTTTGTCTTGCTGAATCCATTTCTTTACATCCTTACTTGTGTTGTACTAATTACATGATCGTTTGTTACTTTACATTCTGTGGTTAGTGTCCATTCTTCACAGTTCTTAAGTTATCTGGAATGCATGTTGTATTATTGTATTTCACTCTGTACTGTGTTAATTTGACTAGCAGGGATTACTATCTAGTCTGGGAGCTTGAAAGTATTTGGGAAGTCAGGCTAAGCTGCGCCTAGGAATATGTACTAATTCTGTAGTGCCATAATTTGAGTCGCCTCACCCCC